AAAACAACCCTAGAGCCCTCGGAGGGCCAAAAAATCACGAAAAACTGAGACTTACCGGCGGCGGTGCTCTCGGGTGCGGCGGCTCTTCCGATGTGAGTTGCATTTTGATGTTTGGCTCTGATTAACCTGTAGAAAAAAGAACGGTGATCACAGTTGTATAAAATTTGCATCGAACGGAGGTTAGGAAGGGCCTCATCAGAGGCAAAAACAGAGGGGAGTCGCGGCGGCACCGCTAGACTTCGGCTGGGTTTTTCGGCCGTTTGGACGGTGGTTTGGCTCCAGTTTGGCCATAGGCGGACTCAGCATCGAAAAACGAGCCAGGATGAGAAAATTTACCTCAATCGGCGGTCGAAAACTTTCCCGGTGCGGCGGTGGGTGGCGGCGGCCGGCTCCTTCGGCGAGGCACTGGCGGCTAGGGTTTTGTGGTCAAGTGTGGGTGGGGTTATTTATACCATTTGCCTTTTAATCTCAACCGTTCATCAAGATTAAATCTGGACCGTCCGATCGCGATTTAATTGGGATTAAATCTGGGCCGTCCATCGCGATGCAATCTGGACCGTCCGTACGCGTGAATCTGGGCCGTCCGTGCTCGCGGGAATGGATCTGGGCTGTCCAATCGCGCGCACGCGGATCGCCCACATGGCCCGTCCCGTGTCAGCGTTTCCTTGCCACGTGGCATATCTTGGTTGGGCGGCGCTGCTGATCGGGCCGCTGACGTCGCTGCTGACGTGGGTGCTAACGTGGCACAACTTTTTTAAATTGCGTTTTGACCTCCAGTTTCTGATTTTTTTTTCAAAAACACCCCCAGAATTCAAATTTTCACCCATTTTTTCCAAAATCAATTTCAATTAAATCCAAATAATATTTTTACCCAATTTTATCATTATTATTATTTTTATTTTCATTAAATTAAATAAAAATCTAAAAAAATTCAAATAAGTAAAAATAAAAATAATAAGATAAAATAAGGAAAAAAAGAACACTTTGGTGTTACAACTCTCCCCCCCTTAAAGAAATTTGGTCCCCTAAATTTGCCTCTTACTATTGGACGAACAAATGGGGATACTGGGCTTTAAATTCTGATTCTAGCTCCCAGGTAGCCTCCCTGGGCGTGTGGTTCTGCCACACGACCTTTACAAAAGATATTTCCCGGTTGCGGAGTATTCTGCTCTTTCGGTCTGTGATACCGACTGGTACTTCTTCATAAGACAAGTCCTCTTGGAGTGGAAGCGGTTCATGAGCCAATACATGAGAAGGGTCCGGGTTGTACTTACGTAGCATGGATATGTGGAACACGTTGTGGACTCTGGAGAGCTCTGGAGGTAGTGCTAGTCTGTAGGCAGCAGTACCAATCATGTCTAAGATTTCAAAGGGTTCAATATATCGAGGGTTTAATTTTTCCCTCCTGCCAAACCTACTAATTCCCTTGAAAAGAGTGACATTAAGAAACACCCAGTCGCCTTTCTCAAACGCTAGGTCTCTCCTCCGGGTATCTGCATAACTCTTCTGCCTACTCTGAGCTATCTGAATGTTCTTTCTGATTTTAACTATTTTTGACGTGGTCTCCTCTATCAACTCTGGGCCGAACAATCTTCTATCGCCCACTTCCTCCTAACAAATCGGTGATCTGCACGGATATATATATTAAAAAATATCAAATGCGGAAGTGTAATAAAAATTTTGATTAACATCCCTTACACAATAACCAAAACGTACTCAAAACATGAAGGAACAAACTAACTAAAACAGATACTCGAAATAAGAACTATAAATATAACCATGAAGTCTTTAGGCGTCCCCTTCGCTATCTTCCTGCGGAACGGGCTCGAGAACAACGTCTTCATGATATGAAATGGTTAAATAAGGAGTGAGCTACACTAGCCCAGTAAAGACATCACACTATCTCACCGCCACGGAAGTAAAGGTGGGTAGCAAATAAAAATGACCAATGGAGCATAATTTATAACGAACTCGTTTATTAACATAAAAACTTTTATTGTCCACTTACCTCGGTGAGATCCATGAAAACAACATATGAAAACAATAACCTTATAATATCATGAAATCATACACACTTTATAACATAACACATATCATACCTTTATATTTCAATCATCAGAAAATAGATTTCCTCTTTTACCAGCCTACTAGT